TCTATCTATCTATCTATCTATCTATCTATCTGCCTATTCTATCTACCGATTTATCAACTCGACACCTGGTTGATGTTTGTCACAATCTTCCAGTTTACTACAATTCCAAGTCCTTTTGTTTGTTTGGGTTTTTTTTTTTTTTTTTTTTTTTTTTGTTGGGTGTTGTTTGTTGTTTTTTTTCGCTTTTTGGGAAGACAGCCATCGTTCCTTGTTTACTGATTCCACCAATGTTAATGTTAAAAGGGTCACCACACATGCAAACAGTTATTGCGCAAAATAAATGAAAATATTTGCCACTCTCAAAGGGTCAGTAACCCCCGGGGCGGTGCCACTGACTGAAGTGTCTTTAGGCCATTCCCAAAGGGGGATATTAACCTGTTCTTATGCACAGTAGAATTGTAAAAAGGGCTTGTTCATAAATGCCATGCTCATAACTGTGCCTGAACTGCAACGGGGAACTGCTGCTTTTTCTTTCCTAATCCTTACTATCGTCATTTTTTTTCCTCTAATTCATTTGTATGTTTGTCACACTCTTGTAACCCGTTATTTCCGGGGTGCCTTGATAGTCGAAGCAGACTTTGTGCTGTTGAAGCTAGAGAGGTGAGCAGAGTAAGCCTGATTCCCTGTATGGACTTCTCTGTTGACATCCACCCCTAGGCGCCCATATGACCTTATGCAGTTGTGAACGCTGTAAAACCCTCTACTAAAACTAACAAAACAAAAGGGTCAGTCGCTGTCGGGAGAAATAGGGTAGTTATTGAGTCTCCTACAAAGAGTATGGATCTACACCCCCCCCCCCCCAACCACACACACACACACACCCTTAATTTCGCTCTTTCCGTTTCCTTTCCTACTGATCATCCTTTTTTTTGGGGGGGGGGGGGGAGGGTTCTTCTGCTCAGTCGCATTTTTTTTTCTCATGAGTGCTGTAGTTATTTGTTAGGCTTTTTGTCAGTTTGATTGTTTGTTTGTTTCTTTCTTTCTCTCTGTCTGTCTTTCTTTCTTTCTCTCTTTCTTTCTTTCTTTGCCCGGACGGTCAAGTGCCGCTGGTAATTGATTTTGTTTGCAGATGGGTAACGTTTGGCGGCTGGGAACGGAGGGTGTTTTGGATGGGGTTACTGTTGGTGTGTTTGTTTTGTTTGTTTTGTTTTTATTTTTTC